ATGTAATTATGTAAGAATGTTAACACTGTTATATTTTTTTAGTATATTACTTGTGTGGTGTAGAAGAGAATTATTTATGTAGAGTTACTGCTTGCAAACCAATGATGTAAGATGATGTCATGGGGTAGGACTGGATAAGTCTGACTTCTTCCTACTCCATTCAAGCATGTACTAGGTATAAGCAAATTGATATTGGATTAGCATTTGTTGGATATGTGTAAAATTATGTGTGTTGACATATCAACTGTCTTTACATGCTTGAAAGAATAAATCAAATCAAATCAAATCTTGTTGTGTAATTGACGCTGTGTTGCTTCATTTCAGGTTCAGATGAAAAGCAATGATAATAAAGGTGAAGCAATAACCTACGCCACTGTGAACGCTTCCTCTACTGACCCCAGCGACCTCTACGCTAGCATCATCTAACCAGATCAGTCAAACTAAAGTCCTGAGATCATTGTTCATGTTATATAAATGAACATTTTAGGATGATTTGTTGTAAAATAAAAGCTTATGTTAGTTAAGTGGTGGTACAGTGTTAAAACGAGACAATAATGTTAATGTTTGAACTTTTTAGTTTTCATGTTTTTCTTGTTTCCTTTTATTGTTTGATATACAGTAATTTGACTATTTATGGCCTACATTCATTTAGCTGTGACAGTCTTGGTTTTAAAGTATTCAAAACAACCTGAAAGGAGGTTGAATGTGATATAACCTGTTTGAACTAAATAAATGTCATCTTTGAAAGGCATATTAAACAACTGTGGAAATCCAAACACAACTATGATTCATATTACTAGGAATTAGTTTTTTATAAGGATATTAGGAATAAGACACTGACAGGATGTAAGTCATTGTGAGAAAGTGACATCTTACAGACAACAGGAAGAACAGAAATGTGAGAAGAAGAGATAAGAGACAAAAAGCTGCTGGTTTAAATCAGATGTATTAACACATCTTTATTTCACGTGGTGATGGATAGTCATTCTGACTGGCTGATGACAGTCATGACTTGTGGAGGATGCCTCAAGTCTGTCCAGGACAGAAGGAACAAACTCTAAATCCTATGACACATTCATTATATAGGTGTAGTGCCACCCACAGGTAAAGTACCATACAAGTTTACAGTCTACAAAAGTCATTTACATTTGGCAGCTGTGAACAAAGAAGATCCTTTATTTAAGTAAAAGACAAACCAAGCAATACCACAATGTAAGACGTATAAATACTCCAAGAGCAAACCCTTCTCTTGCTGTGGTTAATGAAATCAAAAACTACATTCCTGTTATTTTGTACAATGCAATTAGAAAAATCATAAGCTATAATATGTCTTTTTATGTCTTGATTTAAACCTATGTAGCTCTACTTTATTTTGTTGTTTGTTTGTACAACTATAACTTTATTTTTTTACATTCTATTCTATTTGTTATTGTTTTGGGTTTTCTAATAAAGAAGAAGAAACTACGCACTTTTATTTTGAAAAACTTTCTCGATCCGGAAGTTCCTGTCTGTTGACCTAGAATTGGTTTCCGTTAGTGTAACATTGGAAACTGAATTTGGTGCTATATTTTTCTGCACAGTGGAAAAAATAACTACGGCTGTATTTTAAAACAAACTTTATTGAAACACTTGCTGAAAAGAGAGCTGCTCGGTAAGTTTAAAATGCATAATGAACTGAGAAGAGAGAAAACATCACTGTTAGCTAACGGTTGTTCAGGTGTCTAATGTCCGCGACACCAGCGGCTGTAAACAACACAGCTAAAAATCTTAGCAGGCTAGTCTTAGTTATTGACAACGAATTCTCATCACTGGGTATTTTTATCTTGTTATATGAGTTGTTTTACTAAAGTATGAACATCAACCGTTTTGAAAAATACAGTAACTGAGTGATGGTCTATATTTGTTGGCGCTTGCTCATAGCATTGTAGTTAGCGTTTAGCATGAACTAAGCTAGCTAGCTGTTATATCTGTAAGGAAACCCGGCTGTGCCTCTGGTTTTCGACAATGTCTGTTTTACTTTCTGTTTGCCATGTTTACTCCTGTGTCAGATGTGACTGTGGCAGCCGTCGACCATGAGCAACAGTCACCCTCTGCGTCCACTGGCCTCCGTCTCGGAGATCGACCACATCCACCTGCTGTCGGAGCAGCTTGGAGCCCTAGTTCTCGGTGAAGAGTACAGCGATGTTACCTTCATCGTGGAGGAGAAGCGCTTCCCCGCGCACCGGGTCATTCTGGCAGCTCGCTGTCACTACTTCAGGTAACTATAAATGACTAAAGCCCTGGTTCATGTCACTAATCCTACAGATGCTTTGCAAAGCCTCTCCTTTTACTGTAGTTCAGTGGAAAGGTTTGAGCATCCCAGGGCCAATTCAATATTTAATTGTGATTTTTAGGGAATGAAAAGGAGCAAATATAACTCCTCCAGTAATCAGACATTATATAATAAGGATTTCTGCAAATCTTAATGCATAGTCACTTTTTTATTTTATAAACTTAAATTTAAAAAATTTAAGTTATTGTAGCATGTGCAAATGTTTGCCCACATGGAGGTGGAAATATTCTTTGCGGCTGTTTGGTGGCAGTGGTACAGGAAACATTGTATGGCTAGAGGGAAGAATAGATACCACTAAATATCAGCAAATTTTGGGTGCAAATGTGATGCATCTTGTCAAGAAAGCACTGACTTCGAAGGGTGCCCAAACTTGTTGGCCACACTGGTTGTGACAGTACATAGCTTAACACTTGCAAGAGCAGGATTTTGTGAAAATGTCATGGAGAAAATCAATTAGGACACAAGGGTTCTCAAAGAAACCCATCTTCTCCCCCCTTTAGGGCCCTGCTGTATGGTGGGATGAAAGAGTCCCAGCCCCAGGCAGAGGTGCCTTTGGAGGAGACACGTGCTGAAGCCTTCTCCATGCTTCTACACTACCTGTACACAGGCCGGGCCAGCCTCAGCTCCGCCAGGGAAGAGGTGGTGCTTGACTTCCTGGGTCTGGCTCACCGTTATGGCCTTCAGCCGCTGGAGGACTCGACCTCAGAGTTCCTCCGCACCATCCTGCACACCAACAATGTCTGCCTGGTTTTTGATGTGGCTAGTCTCTACTCTCTGAGCATGCTCAGCGCAGCCTGCTGTGCCTATATGGACAGACATGCACCTGAAGTGTTGGTTTCCGATGGCTTCCTCCTGCTCTCCAAAGTAAGAGATGGCAGAAGCACGAAATGGTGTACGAAGAGTCTTAATCAATATTGCTTCTGGGTCATCGTTATATTAGGGTAACCTTCATTTCTCCATGATACATGGTTTGAAATAGAAAAATATCTCATATGTGCCTGGTGTACAATAAACATGGTATACAGTGATCTCTAGTGGCTAGTAAGTGTTTTCTATGAGACTGTAGCAGAGTTCAGCTTTACATGCAGGTGTGTATGAAACTACAGGCACTTAGGGCACAATATGTCACTTGATGTGACTTTAGTGAAGTAAATGACTGCTAACAACATAAATGGTCCCATACCTGCTGTTACGCAACTCACTCTTGTTTCATTACCTGTATTAAATTGATGTGTTAAAATCACTTATTTGTAGGAAAACAAGCACCCTAATTTTACCTGTGTTTGCAGACTGCTCTTCTGACTGTGGTCAGGCGGGACTCATTTGCTGCCAGTGAAAAGGAAATCTTTCAGGCCCTTTGTCGGTGGTGTCGGCAGCATGGGGAGGGGCCTGACACAAAGGAGGTAATGTTAGCCGTACGGCTGGCGCTCATGACCCTGACAGAAAAGCTGAACAGGTGCGACCGTCTGGCCTTCTGAGCCCAGATGACCTGCTGGATGCCATCAAGACCCGCTCTGAGAGCCGCAACATGGACCTTAACTACCGGGGAATGCTCAGTTAGTTATTCCTCTATTTGTTTACTGTCAATATTACTGGTGTGAATTGCATAAAACGTTGAAACGCACTGTAGTATAGTTGTGTGTTTTTCTTATGTATTATCTGTTTATTTGTTGCATTCATTAGCGCATTTATTCATGGCTTCTTTCATGTGTTTCAGTCCCAGAGGAAAACATTGCTACCATGAAATATGGAGCGCAGGTAGTGAAAGGGGAGCTGAAGTCAGCGCTGCTGGATGGAGACACCCAGAACTATGACCTGGATCACGGTTTCTCCAGACATCCCATCGAGGAGGATGGCAGGGCTGGGATCCAGGTCAAGCTGGGCCAGCCGTCCATTATCAACCATATCCGCCTCCTGCTGTGGGACAGAGACAGTCGGTAAGATGACTTGGTCTCACCCTACTGAAAAAAGTAACAAGCTAGAATGGCAGAGTTTGAATTTACCTTTATATGTATGAAGCATAATTTGTGATCTTTATATTGAATATTTGAGGGTGTACTAAAGTACAGCTTACTGTTAAAGTAGATGACTGATTGAACTAATATTTAGGTTTGCTGGTTCTAAAAAGTTTGGCCAGGTGATAAGAGGGCGTATCTGAAAGTAATGTTTTGTGTGTCTGCTTTTAATGACCTTTTCTTGTATATCCCCAGGCAGCGTTGTTACAAAATAAAAATGAAAAATAATCAGATTTTCTAAAATTCTTTCAGACAAAACCCATTTGGGACTCCAAAGCCTGATTTCTGCTTCTGTATTGAATCTATGCAGTCATGAGCATTTATAGTTATACCAGTGGTTCTGCGTTGCTGCCTAAACACTAGCTGGTGGAGGGGCTTCTTTGCCACCTATTACAAACAATGATGATTGACACTGGGCAGGTCATGTTGGGGCTGAAGCCAGTAGAACTTGAACAACAGTTACTTTTACTGAAATTATTGCAACGCAGAAAAGACATTGGAGGAGACCACTGATCACTGAATCGACTGCTTTTCTGGCCACTGAGAGACATGGATGAGGAAATGCAATGCAACTGGTCACAACTGTTGTGGTTTGTGTCACCCTGACATGTAGTTGCATTTCTGGGGAGGTGCACGATAGGTTCTGGTGCAGGGTACCCAGCTACAGAGTACCTACGGCGCAGATTCGACACAGAAGCATGAATTGGCTTTAAGACTTTTGCTCGTCTGGGAAATGTTTTTAATAATTATGTCATTAAGAAACCTGAATATAATTTTTAAGCCTCACTATACCGACTTTATACTCATATCATTGCCAACTGATTTTGCGGTGGGGTGTGTGTGCTGATGTTAAAATATCATTCTGGATTATTTAAGGTCGTACTCCTACTACATCGAAGTATCTATGGATGAGCTGGACTGGGTGCGTGTTGTGGACCATTCCAAGTACCTCTGCCGCTCCTGGCAGAAACTCTACTTCACACCACGTGTTTGCAGGTGAACTAATCCAAACTAGTCCCATTTCACTTACAGGTATTCCTTGGCCCAAACTGTTGACTTTGAATTTTACACATTTTCAAGAAAACCAGAACTTGTACACATGTACAGTAGTTCAGTATTAGTCGGTGTTCACTCAGCATGCCCAGCTGGAGATGTTGGTGGCAGGACTCGTCAAAATAACATCTGATTCCATCACTGTCATTTTTGCCAAACATGGAGGGTGTCTTTCTTTGGGGGGGACTTGCCGAACCTGGTGTACACACTGTGTTTTGAGGTTGTTGCCTGTATTTGTTTTAAAATATATTTTAACAGTTTACACTGTACAAACCACATTGACTTGCATGGCAGAGGACAGAGAAGTGTATTTTCAGGCATTTCTGTACAGTGTTGTGGGGTTTCTTTAGTTTGAGCAGCCTTGCTTTTACCCTGTCGTACAAACCACTCCAGATCTGGAATACTGTGTTGTGGGCATGCCTGTGAGGTATTCCAGGAAAGTGGTTAGTGAAAATGGGTTTTGTTCCTGTGGTAACTTTAATTCTATGATCCTAATTTCTTCACCAAACCCTGAGTGTCTGTCTGCCTGCTGAGCCTTAAGGAACAACTCATTCATACCGCCCATGTCACAGTGCATATCATGAGCACTTTAATCTGCAGTGGTTACTTTGGGGGAAGAAAATAAAAATGTTTCCAGATCTACTGTATGAGATCTCTGTCCTTAGATTTAGATAATACACATCATGGATTCATACTCAGCACTGAATAAAATTTATACAGTCTGTCTTTATAACACCATGACTCTAACAAGAACTAGGTTTCCCTGTGCATTACTGTCTTAATTACTCTTGTGTGAAGCTGAAAATCTGTGGAATTAACTCATCAGGGTTAAGTCCGGAGCTCGGTGAAGCCTGATATATGATAACAGAAGTGGATGTGGAATGATATGACTCAAACTTGTTCTAAGGAATTCAGTAATGGTGCTGCATCATCATACTGCATCACTGTCATTACACTTTTTAAAAGAAGGTAGTAAATGCAGACTTTCGTGTGTTGTTTTGTGTGTGTGTGCATGCGCACCTTGTCCACGTTGCTTTTGTGGTAATGGTTACTGCAGTTTATTATGTTGGCATTTTACAAAATGCATGGCTGTATTTCTGCCGTAATGGAGCATGTTGTGCTCAGGTAATGGTTCAAATTATGTTTTTTCAGAGTATAATATACAATGTGTTTCACTGTGGACATTATGGTAATTTGGGTAGAATTCACCTTTATTTTTTCCATTTTTTTACTAGATAACTAGATAAAGGAGTGAAGTGTCATGTCAGTTTTCTTCTGGTTGCTTGGTTTTCCTTCTCAGAACTGATGTTGCTCTCTGTGTCTCAGGTACATTCGCATTGTGGGAACACACAACACGGTCAACAAGGTCTTCCACCTCGTGGCTTTTGAATGCATGTTCACCAACAGCCCATGTACCCTGGAGAATGGACTTGTGGGTAAGTTGGAGCAACAGGTGTGCTCTGCACTTGCAGTGTGTAGTGTTTCCCATGTAGAAATTTGAAGGCTCTTGTGTCTGCTCTCACTTTATTCTGGCTGAGTACAGCAGCTAAATTCCTGCTATGCACTGAAAAGGAAAACATGTTTGTAACCCTGACCCTAATGTCTGCAGTGCCCAGAGAGAACGTGGCCACCATCGCATCATGTGCCAGCGTCATCGAGGGCGTGAGCCGCAGCAGAAATGCCTTGCTCAACGGTGACACGCGCAACTATGACTGGGACTCAGGCTACACCTGCCACCAGTTGGGCTCCGGAGCCATTGTCATCCAGCTGGCTCAGCCCTACTCCATTGGCTCCTTAAGGTAGATCTGGCCACATTGTCTGCTCTGAGTGGGCTTCAGACAAAAAGACCAAACTTCCAACAGCTTATGAAGTAGTTGCTGCATCACTGGCAATAAATCAATTAAAGTGTTTGTGCTTTACCCCACAGTTACATGAGAGTAATTTTAACCATATAGTGGCAAATGTTTGTGTGGCTTCATGAATTGCATTTAGTAAATGGAAAGTGACTTCAGCTATGTCTGTGTGTCAGTTTGCAGTATTAATGAAAATTGTCCCTGCCATGATTTTTAGTCATAATCTCTATACTGAAGTGTCAGTAACAACCAGGAGTGTCTCCACTTCCTTCTGTCTGTTCAGGCTGCTGCTATGGGACTGTGACGAGCGCTCATACAGTTACTACGTTGAAGTCTCCACCAATCAGCAGCAGTGGACGAAGGTGGTTGACCGCACCAGGGCAGCGTGTCGGTGCGTTTCCCATTTCCTCTTCACTTACTTTCTTTACCACCATTCTTATTTCTGTCATGTTAAGAGGCAGCAGCTTTTTAATTGGTGCATTGTGAGTTCACAAGTGAAGGTTCTTATTTCTGTCATGTTGTTAAGAGGCAGCAGCTTTTTATTTGGTGCATTGTGAGTTCACAAGTGAAGAATGTCTTTAATCTGAAAACGAATCTTTGAATTGCAGCATTGACATAAGGATCCAAAATCAACTGCACATGAATTAGGTCACATTTCATTATTGTAGCTTTCTGTTAAAAAGTGCATTTGATCCTGGGTTCAAGGTTTTTATTTTGATACCTGCTATTGTTCAGTTTTTGTGTATTTATTTATAATGCATTACTTTACTGAACCATGAACTTTCCACCAGCAGAGGAGCTTTGTAATTTCTGTGTGGACCTTGACCCTCTGATTTCTCTCTAGAGAAGCAAGCAGCCTTGTCTGATAGTAATACCCTTGACAAGACTTAGAGACCAGTGTAAAACCGAGCTACTGTTGGCTTAGTCTTATGTTTGGCAGATGTTGCTTTAATAGCTGTTGCTCTTGTAGGTAGGGAGACTACATTTCAATCTTTAAGGAACGGAAAGTTTCAGGCTTAATGTAAAGAAAATAAAAAATGTTTCCATAAAAGTCTGTGTGCAGTAATCAGGGCCTTGCTAGGACATGATCATCAGAGACCTGAGCGAAAACACATGTAATCGGAGACATAGTCGGAATGTTTCACATTTTTGATTTGATGGGTTTTTACTTCCCTGTCTCACAGATCATGGCAGACCTTGAAGTTTAATAACCAGCCTGCATCTTTCATCCGTATTGTTGGGACACACAACACTGCCAATGAGGTGAAAAACACTCGCTGCTTCTTTTCTAAAGCTGCAAGAGACAAGATCATACATTTGTGTTTATGTTTATCAGTGGCACCTTTCTACCTTGGACCAGTGTTTCAGTGAACCGTCAGGAACAATAATTACTAGAGATGACTGGGTACCTAAACTGTTTTAATATTCAGTTGGATTAATAGAAGAATAATGGTATTTTAACTGATGGTTGCTGTTTGTTGCCATCAGGAGTAGCTATTACAATAGAACACTTTTAAGTCACTAGGGGATTTCTTTTACTGTGTGTGTGTGTGCACGCGCGCGCTGATTTCTTTTGTTAATGTTTGACTGTGGTCTCTCTGAAGGTGTTCCACTGCGTTCACTTTGAATGTCCTGCTCAGCTGGACATAGAAGTGAATGAAGGCAGTCCGAGCCTGGACTCATCTGACTCTGGGACTGCCTCTCAACAGCTGCGACCCCAACGACCATCACGCACACACACCCTGCTGCCCTCCCAGGCCTCTTCGTCGTCATCGTCGTCCTCACAGTCCCATCATTGAGTGCACTCGCCCTATCGTTGGAAGATGTTGAGAGGAAGGGAGACTTCAGAATGCATTTTTGCACAGCCTTCAACATCCAGATTGCACTGCTTTAGCGCTGCTAAAGGCGATTGTCTCATTGTCATAAGTCGTGGTCCTTCTGTCATAAGTGCAACATTAGAGACTGGTGTATCTGTAGCAGAAGAATTTAGGGCTCCAATCTTCCCAGGTTTGAAACCTAAAGTTAGGTATTACACCCATAAGCTCATACATTTTTGTGAAGGTACTTTTTAGCTACTAAGACTCAAATTATGTCCCTTCAAAGTCATCAAGGTGGAGTCTGTACTTCTCCAAAGATGAGGCACGTACTGAAATGTGGTTCTACTGTACCACCAAAGAGCAGTGAGACCAGGGTGCGGTTGCTGTCAGGGTTTTACAAGTTATCCTTAAACAAGCTATTTTTTTAAGGACAGTTGTCTTAAAACAACTCCACATACCTTTCATACCGTCATTGTAACAGAATAGTAATCAAATATTTTTTGAGGTTTGGAATTAAATTCTTCAACGGTTTGCCAAAGCTATGGAGTGAATGCATTCTGTGGTGTATGTATGCAAATAGCACATAATCCAATTCTGCATTTGCATATTAAGTAAAAGCTGAGCATTTGTTGACAGACTTTTAGACCTAAAAACCAAAATCTGTCTTTATCTGGTGTGGCATTTTCATAGTTGAACTTCATACTTCAAAAAAAGATAAAATTAAACCTTGATTTCATTAAGTGTCTTAATTTGTATTTTAAGCACTTAAAGAGTTTAGCACAAATGACTGGGGGAAATGGAGCTGCTGAAATTGGGGCTGAGAGGCTCGGACCAAATTACATGTGCACTAGGGAGGAGAGCTTATTAACAGTATGTACATGAGCAGCTGCTGTTGGCACTTTATTTTACTGAAGAACACAGAGATAAAGGTTACAGCGTGGGTCTTCTGACAGAACTACACAACTGTTTGGTATCTTTTTGTTTGTATGTTAAATTAATTTAAACACTTCCTCCTCTTGGATTCGTCTGGTCTGAGTTGATTTCTATCATTTTGGAGGTTTGTTTTTAAATTAAGTTGCCAGTGCTGTTTCCTCTTTGTTTCTTGTGTTCCTGATGTTGCACTTTGGAGTTGTCTTTGAAAAAGTCTTCATTTTGATGTTAAATAACCTGAAATATGTTACTACCCTGGGTGACCCGCTGATATTCCCATAATCCTTCTTTAGCCATCCCCATCTATATTTTAGAATATTATGCATAGGTTGCAGAGTCTTCCTTAATAACCAGAAAACTGAAATAAGGCTGTGTTCAGGTTATGTTGTAATGGAGAAAACACACTCCTCGTCCCCATCTGATGTTATGTATGTGCATAGTTTTATTATATATTACTTTTGACCGTTGAAGTGTGATTGCATTTCACTGCCTCCTTTTGGATACATTGCTTGTCAAAAATGTGACTATGGAAACAACTGACATGATTTATTACTGTTCATTGCTGTGAGGGCTCATGCCCATCTGCTTGCCTGAATTGATGCTGTTAAACACAGTGGAGGTCTTTGATACAAGCAATACAATGATCTTTCTTCTGTTTAGTCTTGAGAGCTTCTGTTACACACCAGCAGTGGTGTTTGGTTGGTCACTGCGTTCTTCATGCTCCAGAGCTTTGGCCTGTGTTATTGTATAATGCTGCCCAAGAGCAGATTTACTGTCAGCAAACTTAAAAAAAAAAAAAAAACTTCTGATTTTGAAGCTCAATTATTGTTTTTGCCTTGTTTTTGGTGCTCAAATAATTGCTGTGTTTGTTCCAGCCTGTAGGAACAGGAACCAAGGGTTTTCAACTAGGGCAGAAAAAATGTAGGAGCAGAGGAGGCCATGGAGAATAAACCCATCTCTATGAGCAACAGAATTAACTTATAACTAATGGGTGCTGTAGGAAAATAGTTTTATGTGCACTCTTAAGCTGTGTGTACCTTTGTGGGTTTTAATCTGTAATGGCTAATCATTGCCATGCTAACTGCTAACAGTCTCCAACTTAACATGTTCACCATAGCAGCTTTATAAGGTGATACTATGGCAATGTTGTGCTTGCTTCAGCTTCAGCTTGTTTCACTACTTAAAATAATCAGTGAATGTTGGTTTAGTCAAACTAGAGCTATGAGAAACAACCACTGAACACAGAGATGAGGTTAACAGGTACCCAGAGCTTATTTCCACCCCAGGGCCAGTTAAACCAGCCCCCGAGCTGCTCTATCATCTAGATGCTGTTCAATACCTGTTCAAAGTCAGCCTTTTATGATTATATGACCTATTAACTCTCAAGAAGTTTCCCTTCACTGTCAACAGTCATGTATTACATTTAGTTTTAAATATTACATATCTGAATTGCCTGATGATTCTGTGACGTAATCCTAATCAGGTTGATCTGAATTGCCTGATTATTCTGTGACGTAATCCTAATCAGGTTGATTGTATTTTCATTTTAGTTACAAATGGGTTGCAGAGTTAAGTCCTCACTGTAATCAGGTTAAACAGATTACAGTAAAACCAGTGGTCAAAGCAAGTCAAACCTCATACAGTCTCGCTTTGTGACTCTTTTTAGGTGACTACGGACTCTCTGAATTTTATCTTTGTAATATTCTCTGGGATTTAGCCGTGTAATATTGCATTTGCCTGTTCGTGGCACCTTTCTTTCGTTAGGCAGTATTGACATTTCTGGTTTGATGGACGCGTTTCCGGCCCAGCATACATTGTACAAGCGACGTGTGAATAGGGGTGGTCCTGATCTGCTAAGAGGGGAAGGCCTTATTCTGTCTATTTATTTAGTCGTTTCTTGTACCGCCGTATGTATATAATGTTGTCAAATCGTATTTTATCTGTTTCGATGGAGGGTTTGCGATTTTTCTAGGCCTTTTGGTGTCGAGTAACACACCGGGACACCCCCTCTTTTCGTTTGTCGATCGTAACGTCCGAACGTCCAGCTGATTGCTTTGAGTGCCGTTCAATTATTCCAGTTCAAACTGAGCCGTTTTGTTGGAAGAGATTCTTTTTGGGCGAAACGGGACGAATTTACCACCGTTTTCATCGATGGGTGTACTTTAAAACAAAGGGGACATTTATCGTTTTGTCTAACGCGAGGGTTGGATCGTTTTTCCCACTGAAAGACCAGGCCGCGGACTCATCCCCAGCCTCGCGTTTTCATATCGGTTTTTGTTGGAAGTCATGGGAGACACTAGTGAACGAAGCAAACCTCCGAGTCTACCTCCCCGATGTCCCTGCGGATTTTGGGGGTAAGTCTTAAGCCTAATATAAACTATATTAAATCCGCTATATTAAACCTAAAGGTAAATCCGGATGAAATGCGCTCAAAGGGCTCAACTAGTCCAAACCCATTGTTATTCTGTTGTGCAGGCCGAGAGTGGGGGGTTGGGAAGTTAGCTAATAAATAAAGCTCCTAGCTTGAAAACTAGCGACACATCCGCTGTTTCTTAAGTTAATAACCCTACCCTCGTCGCCCCAGACCCGGCTATTATTTTTAAGCGTACTATATTGTATTTAGGGTACATTATAAACCCATGAGATGACGTACCCGAGACAGAACGTGATTTATTGCCACCAGGTTCCTTTTAAACCTGCCTTGTTTTTTTGTTTTAGCTCGAAGAAAAGCGGTAGTAAAACTGTTAACGCGTTACTTTTGTTAACCCCTCAAGCTGAGCAGTGCTGATGGACCCGGGTTTGAGTTATTTTACACCCTTTTACATTCGGACTTGTCAAGTGGCGGATGTGTTGCATACCGGAAATGATTCACTGGTATCTCCTGTGTTACCCCATAGAACAAATGACTACATCAAACCTTTAATCGATTTAACAACGTTACGCAAACGTGACTACAGCTGCTCTTTTTAGGAATGTAAGTCACACCAGGGCGTGATAAGACTGTCAGCTCATTACTGAGCACGATAGCACCTTGTATTACAGTAATATTAGTGATATTACTCTTGTGCCATATACAACCAGGAAGGGCTATTTTCAGTCCTGAATAATGTCACATTTCTCATTTGATTAAGAGCCTACCCTCCCCCTCAGTTGCCTTCATTCTGTGGCGTCCAGTAAGCAGACTGGGACCAGTAACCCACCTGTCAGTGTCAGGTGACACAAATGGCAGCGTTGTGCGCATATATTGCTGCCTGGGCTCAGAATAACACCTGGCCTGGGGCTGCCGGCTGCCCTGCCCACACAGGCCTCTTCACAAATGGCACTGAAACTCAAGGCCTCTTACAAAGATCTTGAATGAGGCTGTGAGTTTGCCTTCAGGACTGAAGCTCTGTGTAGCCCCTTGCTCTGCCAATACAAGGCTCCCGCTATGGTTTTTTTATGGTTTAATGCAATATTAGTTAATTTAGTTGATGGTCTAACTAGTATAAAGTGCTAATTTGTTTTTATTATTCGTCTTAAAATTTACTTGACAAATTTTCCACAAAGATTCAAATTTTTGTTGTGGTTCAGAATTAACATTATAACTAAGTGTTCGCAGTTATGTGCTGACAGTGATGACACCAGGTGACTTCTTTGACTTGTCCTTTCTGTTTGGGTGAAGCTGTGCTAGTGAAAGGCAGTGAAATCACCTACTAACATGAGCGGTTCTGTATCCCTAAACCTCATAGTAGACCATTACCAATACACAAGGCCGGTATTAAGGAAAATGTTTTTATTTTATTTATTTATTTATTTTTTTTTAGATGAGTACTTGATAATGTAAACTTGTTTTTGCTCTCTGGATGAGGAACTTTGTAATACGGACATGGACCTTAAATGCTGTCAAACATATCTTTGCTGTATTTGCACTTCTCTATTGGTTGACACTCGGTCTCAGTTCAGTCCTCATCAGGGTTCAGGGTGATTATCTTGTTTTCCATGCTTGTCTTATCTGTGTGTGTTTTTTTTTCCACCCAGCCTCCTGCCATCTGATGAACCACATGTGTAGTGGTGATAGTCTGAACACAGAGGCTTCGAAGCATGTGTTGAGTACTCAGGGCAGCGGGAAGTGAAGCTTCGTGTCGAGGCTCATTGTTTCGAAAATGTGATGTCACTGACGTTTGAAGCTTCATCTGGGCTTGCTGGTTCAGGAAGTGCTTAGAAGTTGGTGGGATGTTTGAGATGTAAGTGGGGAGGACAGGGATTGAAACATTTGTGGGTTTGTAGTGTTGGAGATCGTTGCAGTGACATGGGATTCACTTCATAATTTGAAGAAATGCTCTCTTGAACCTATAACAAACATAAGGGTGAGCTGTGCTGCTTCAGTCTGTTTCTACAAATTCCTGTGGTACATTATTTTCACCACTGGGTGGTTTTGTGGGGACTTGAAGCTTTGACAAATGAACCAGCTTTTGCTTCAGATGGCTGGGAAGCTTCGAGGCTTCATTTGTACATCGCTAGTTTTAAGCACGTCAACAAAATCTTTGACCTCGCTGTGAACTCTCTCTGTGGGTGTAATCAGATATTCTCCCCTACTCTCCTAGCTGGACTATCACTTGTCCTGGACAACGGGATGGGACACTCACCCAGCCTGAGATATTTTCTCTTCTGATTTCTCAGCTCTTTCTATAAGTGTTTAAGATTTATTTAAGACCAAGCGATGCTGAAATAAAATGGTCTCAATTAGTTTTGCATTTGGTGGGGCTTCTGAAATGCCTAGTTTCTGAAGTATTTGTTTATGCAAAGTGGATTTATTTTTTTGTGGCTTGTTTTTGAATATCCAGTTTCACCCACATGAAATAAGGAATTTCATGGCATTATGCAGTTGTTTTGTGAAAAACATTTTTTTTGTAAAATGTGCAGAAACCTTTTATCTGTTTTGGATTTATAGTAGATTATCTTAAGTTCTGAACAATTTAGTCACCTTGTTTTTAGGCAGGACCGTATTTTATTAAACGAATAATGAATGAATGTGGTTGTCAGTAGAATAATGTACAACTTAGTTGGACTTGCTGTCTTTAAACATTTTATTTGTCTAAACCTCCATTTTTTGTTTAAAGGGAACAGGCTGGATTTTGCTGTTGAACACAGTATTAGGAACTTCTGGGATTTAGCATGGCTGGAAAGACACTGGCTCAGGCAAAGAAGAGAATATTGGAAGATGTTTCATTTGGAAGAATTATTTGCAGTTACTGCAACTTTTACGACTTAATACGGAGACGAGAGCAGACAGAAAATGTCTTCAGGAAGAACAAATGAAATGTTGGTGGGAAGCAAATTTAGTGAAACTGCATGGCAGACAGGTGCAATGAAAGTGGATGAGAGGTGAGCTAACTGCTGTTAAGTAGCTGCAGCGATGACCTGTTTTTATTTGTTCATTTTCCCCAGAGAGCCACCGGGAATTGGTCAGGAATTGACAGTAAATTAGGTACAGTGTACAGATTTCTATGGTCTTGCAGTAAGTATGATCTTTTGAAGCTCCTTGAGGCCTGTTTATTAAATTTTGTCCATTTATAGTTATTGATGGAGGTATAACAGTCTGTGCACACTTGCATTAGCCACATAGCTCCAGTAGGAACAGTGATCTGAATACTACGGAGCTCCAGCTTCTCTACCACTGACAGGCCTCGCACCTGACAGAAAGGCTTCAGCCTTACATACTGTGGTGGAATGAACATTAAAGAGAGCTGCAGAAGGTGAGAGAAGGACAGGTCATGCCTGTAGCAGATGTGCCTCCAACCAAGTGCTGCTCTATTTTTAAAGACTAAGGGCACAGTTTAAAGACTAAACTCACCAGTTGGTTTATAAAAAAAAGCCATCAGTTTTTGGTCTTAAAATGAGTTGCTGCGTAATGACATGGCTCTCCCCATGTATTCACTCGTGGCAGAGAGGAGGAGATGTGACTGAGAACTCTGGGCATCTATAGGACATAACTCTGAAAGTGAAACCTGCGTTCATTACGCATTCACCCCCCTCTCCTCGCTCTCAAAGCATCCAGTAGCATTTTGAGTATAGTGTAGCCAAACCTCAAAGGTATGGTGGCCATTTTAGGACATGTCATGCTCTGCTTTGCCAGAGATTCAGCAGTATGTTGCCATCTCTAGCTGGTCTTTGTCCACCTCAGTGCTAAGATGCTGCAATGACAGATGGGACTGAGGCTTATCACTGTCAAAGGTATGCAAACAGTGTGAATCCAGAGGTGTGGTTTGTCATCGTAGCAGCAAGGTGCATAGTGTTGGATCGAGCTAAACCCAGTACTGGTGACATTACAGCTTCTTTGTTGGGCTGCGGAAACATCAGCACTAACATGTAACAGGACATGAACCTACTGAGCCTGTCAGGAAAGTTCTTGTGTAAAACTGGCAGCATTTGAACAATTAGTCAGTTGACAACAAATACAACCATTCACCAAAAACAGTGAAACTGTAAAATAACCAGATATGTTACAACCATATCCTCCCCCTGTAAGCGATCTGTTCCCTGTCCTCTGCGATTTCCTCTCATACCACGCACAGCTCCAGTTGCCAGAACAAAGAGAAGGTTCCTGCGATGAAACCTTAGGAGACATTATGAAAGCTGTTATGGTCAGGATGTGATAATAATGGCCATCTGAGATTTGGAAAAAGGGCCCGGGTCCTGCTAGGGTTTCTGATAATTATGTGCTTAGCTCATGTACTGTTTACAGTTTCATTGTCAACATCTCCATGTAATTAACTTTGTTTCAACATTTAACCCCACGATATTGTCTTAAAAAAAAAAATTCTTTGGGTTTGTAACAGAAAACATGTCCATTGTGTAGAATTGTAGTAATAAGTACATCTTCATTCTCTTCTGCCTCCTTAGGTCCAGTAAAACCATGAACCTCTGCTCCAAATGTTTTGCTGGTAAGTCTTTCAGCACACACTATTTCTTTAAATACAGTGATGACAAATTACATAGTGAGATGAAAATACTTCTGTATCCTGGCCATCATCTACATGCCATTCAGCAGCACTGCTCTCTAGTCCATCTGTCAGTGGTTGTGTAAACCCAAAGGGAGCACTTCGATGATCAGGTTCCTGTCATTATATCAGCATGTTTGTCAGAGTATCTGCAGGTCTTGAATTCAACTTGCTCAAAAAGAAAAAGGGCCTTAGAACGTATTAATTTATAAATGTCTTTCCTGCCTGTTGTAGACACTAATAGTTACAGTATATAATGTGGTTGTATGCTGCCGACATTACCAACAAACCAAATGAGTTTTAAAAACAGTCTAAAACCGATATGGACCTCATAAACCGATCTTTGGCAAGCTTTCTGTTGACAGTAAATATCATGTTTCCCATTGTTAATGGTTACTTGTCACATATAAATGGGGGAAACAATTCCACCTTTTTCTGTAAAGTCGCTTCCTGGTGCTGTCACAGTCGTTCTCTCTGACAGCCAGGGATACGGCTGCAGCAGCTTGAGGCCAGGTGTGCCATCTGATTCTAGTTAGGAATGCTAACAATGCTAAGAAGTCATTCTAGGGTAATGGAGTGAAAGAGTCTCGGTCCAAAATGATGTGTCCACCATTTGGAGGAAAGTGTTTGTAAAAATGAAAGGAAATATCTGTCATAGCTGAAGATTAGATGACAACATATTAAACCATAAACTTTAAATGCTGTTTACAGATAGAAGAAGGTAGGGATGGACATTTCTAGTTAAGTACTGTTCAGTATTTGCTGGGAACTATCTGTCCAGCCATTATCTATATGCTGTATTCCTGAAGAGGATCGTGGGGGCTGAGGGTGCATTGCAGCCATGTTGGTGGCCATGGCAACCAGTGAGGACCTAAGGGCCTAACTTTGTCTATCACAGACAGAAGTAAAACTCAGAATAGACTGAATACATACAAGTGTGGAGGCTGTGAGCCCACATATGGAGGAGAAGCTGAAATCTAGACTGACCTCCCTCACCCTCCCTGCAGGGGGGAGGGTAAAGACAATACCATCATGGATCAATAACTCCTGAGATTATCATTCTACAGAGAGGTCCACAGTGTCGTGTCTTTTTCTTAGCAAGTCAAGTTTCAGCTGGCAAAGTTAACTTGTAGTCGAGTGTGAGAGGAGACTGTTTGGAAAACCTCTTTAGTGGTGGGCGTCAAAATGCTTTGAATCCTGAACATCTGAAACTTGAAAAACAGCTGCTGAACAGCTGCATAACTTTAAAATGA